GAGATGGTTGTCACACAGTGGTTCCAATCCCAGGCGGCAGACTTCTACGACACAGGTATTCAAAAGTTGGTCCCACGGTATGACCAATGTCTCAATTCCGGTGGCGAATATATTGAAAAATAGCTGGACACTTGCTGTATCTGTTGCAATAAATATTTCCATATTGTGTTTTGTTTCTGTAAACGGCCCCAGGGAAACTTACTTTGTGGACGAGCCTCGTAGTTCAAACCTGTCAGTAACTAATTACCAAAATGTTAAGCCAGCCAATATGCCTACCACATGACTAAACTACACACTTCTATGGCAGGAATTATATCTGCAATAAACTACACATTTAAATCACAAGAATGCATTTCCATTTCTATGTGCATAATCAAATCCGTTGCTTCAGGATGACTGTAAGATCAGAGAGGACTGTTCTGTAAAATGATTGTGTACTGACTGTGCACTGAACTTGTAGGCTGAACATACATTAACAGTAAGCATTATCCTTCTATGTAAGACTTGAGGTTCTCACAGCGGTGAGTATGAAGATATCCGTCTTCTGTGTTATTGCGCTGGCCCTGATGACGGAGGCAGTATGACCTCTGAAACGGTGGTTAACATCGACCAGACTACACAGCGCAACAACCCAGAAGGCGGAAATCTTCATACTCTGATGACGGAGGCAGTATGACCTCTGAAACGGTGGTTAACATCGACCAGACTACACAGCGCAACAACCCAGAAGGCGGAAATCTTCATACTCTGATGACGGAGGCAGTATGACCTCTGAAACGGTGGTTAACATCGACCAGACTACACAGCGCAATAACCCAGAAGACGGATATCTTCATTATCCTTCTACACTGTGATGCTGCTGCTGTAAAACCAACAGTCTACTCAATGTAATATTATATAAGTCCCAGTGATGAGACCTGGGAAGGATCCATAATATAATTGACTTTTACAGAAAAGAAATAATCTAATACACTGGAAATTTGGCAAAGATCAGATACTTGAAATTCACAGTTTATAAAAAAGCATAGCACATAAAAAGAGAAAATATTTAGTTAAACTTAAGATTAAAGGAAACTACAGAAAAAGTGAAACAAACATACAACGACAGTATGAATTATGTTAACAAATTTATGATAACCTGTGTGATTTGTTTATATGGGGGAAATATGAAAAAAAGGAAGACATTCAATTAAATCTTATTTAAAAAAAGGGCTGAGAATGAATATGGACAAGCCAGTGATCCAGGACACTAGTATCAGAATCAGTCAACTAGACATTAAAAGAGGTGGACAAATTAATTTATTTTAGGAGTTAAATAATTTGGAAGGAAAAATCAAGAAAGATATCAACTTACACCAAGGAATGCTAAACAATAATTTATGAAGTACATTTTTAACATTTAACATTGAAACACAGACCCTGCGGCCAGGGCGTGATGCTGACCACTCACCCCCATCTAGTGCTGAGGTCAAGAATGAGTAGGAGCTATACTTCCACTCCCCCCAAGCGCCTACATGGCATTACACAGACCCTTACAAAGAGAAATAAACCCAGTATCCATGTAACTGGTATGAAATGTTTGACAAGTATTGGGGCTAATGAAGAAGAGATATTATCAGTCATCTGGATAAATGGTCTCTATCTGGGCTATCCTGGAGTCCGCCTACACAATCTTCAGAACAATATAATTCACCATGCCACTTCTGTGATATTAGTACCAGTTGCAGATCATATTTTTAATACAACCAAAAGCACAATTAATAAATACTCATACCCATTACAAACATTTCTCGTGCTAGCACCAGCATAACTGACCATTTCCCAGTAAACACATATGTAATACATAAAAGTAAAACTGGCTGATTCTTTCCTTATACATTGACCATTTCATAACTAGAGATGGAACAACTCCACTGTGCAGACAAGCATGCTCTGAATTATGGACAAAACTTTCCACTAAGCATAAACAGAGATCCAACAAAAACTTGATTCGAGAAATTCATCACAGGAAAAAGTGTAAAAATCAATGCCTTTGATAGAGATTCATTTTTAAAATTAAAAAACAACACTCTTATATGTGCAGGCCTGCGACCCTACATTAACGTTCCAACTTTGATAAATGGATGAATAATGCGTAACGTACTGTCAAGTTACATATTTTCTTAACTAATAGTGAATGAAAGTGGGCAGATTTTTCAAAATGAAACATTATATTTTATCTAAGAACTCTGCCATTGTGTCAGAAGAACAGTATCAGTTAAACAATATTACTCTGCCTCGAGTGAAGGCTCCTCTGCTTCTCCTACTGGTCTTTCCCCTCCATTGTGAACGTTGTTGAGAGTGACTTCTATCAGAGTCCTGCTCCACATCTGCTAGAAACTTGTAAGAAGCATCTGGTAGGGAGCCCTCCTGCTACAGGAACAAATTACAGAAACTGAATAACTAATTCCATGGTACCAAGATGTTGAGCAGCTGATGGTTAGCCACATAAATGATGCCCAATTTGGAGTCATTATACAAATGTAACATTACAGTAACTATTAAAAATATATTAAAAATTAAATTTTTTTTGCCGTCAATCACAAATATAATAATGTTAAAAGATTAAAACATCATTTAATGTTCCCCATCGAGTACTCGATTACAATAGGAACTTACACGACTAGTTTCGGCTATAATTTAGCCATCAACGGGTGTTATGTAGTTTAAACTTATCACTGAATTACTGATACATAACACCCGTCGATGGCTAAATTATAGCCGAAACTAGTCGTGTAAGTTCCTATTGTAATCGAGTACTCGATGGGGAACATTAAATGATGTTTTAATCTTTTAACATTATTATATTTGTGATTGACGGCAAATTTTTTTTAATTTTTAATATATTTTTAATACTTATGAATCACAATATGACGCATTTGCAATATCTTATATTACAGTAACTGTGAGCAGAAATGGTATTTTTTGCCAAAAAGAATAAATTATATCACTTTCTATGCAGATACTTGAATCGACAGAAGTAACAATATTAGCAATATTGCCAACCTCTATGAGAAGAGAACTAAATCAGCTTCCATCAAGACGGATTCATTTCAGCCAAAATAGATACCTTTTATACATAAATCCTACCAATACACGATGCTGTACACATCCTACTTGTTTCTTCCTCACCTCTCCAAAAGTATAACACTTTGCAGAACTATTGCTGTTGCTGTTATTCTGCTGCAACCTGTCCTGTTCTAAATGTCTACCCCTGATTATTCCGTGACTATGAGGCGGTGATCTCCCTCCAATCGGCCAATCTTCAGCTGGACTTGTTATTTGAACCAGGGCATTCAGTTTCGCTGCATTTTGTTTGTCTGCTTCTACCTCCTGAAAAGAAGTTATATTTTTGAAGTTTATGAGCAAAGGGATAATTTTGAATTTATATTAAAACTACATAAAGTAATGACAGTAGCATGTCTTTATTAAACTGAAACATAAACTTTAAATACACCTTATCACACATGAACAACAAACTGAATACACAGATAAAATGACAGAACGTAAACTCCCTTAAGTTGCACGATATTAATAAACCCTAAACCAGAAGAGGCATCAGCAGACTATACCTGTGTGTAAGGTGGTAAATAAGATAATCTAAAGAACCTTCTACTAATCCCTGTACAGTTTCATATTATCTCCTATCACCTTGCATGTATAGTAAGAGGTTTATGTATTCATTTATATAATAATACTATGAGTAGCTCAACTATATAGCAATGACATAGGATAAATTTTGAACTGGAATAACATGGAATGAAGCTGCTGTAGCCTAATTTAAGGTATCCTGTATCTGCCTGGAGAGACTGAGGAAAAATATAAAAACCTATGTCATTATAGACAGTTTCCAGGCTGTGTGTTGAACCAGGTACCTCCAGAATATGAAGCAGAAGTGTTAATCAATCAGCTGTAACATTAAGCTTCTGGTAATACATACACACTGCAATGTCATCAACTTACGGCATGTAAAAGAACCTTACGAGTATGAACGAGATGTTTCGTTAGCAAAATTCAGCAGCCATTTCTAACCCAAGTCTCTCCTGATTCACAACTAGATGGCTCTAGTAGACAAAGCAGGATTGAGTAGAAATTGTGTACAGACAGTGGGCTTGTCACTCACTATTCATAAACACACATTTCAAAAGACAAAGAAACCTCCCACATGCGAGGAGGCCAAAGCTCGCTTTGGGCTACTGCGCAATAGAGTCAGTTAAGACATACTTGGTCAGAGAAAACTTTCGTATAAAATTAGTATAACAGCCAATCAAATTATAACAATCGAACTTCCTCAACACAGGTAAAAGTTCAGAATTGTAACCAGGAATGTAACACAACTATAGCATAATTGCTTACTACAGTACAAGGTGAAGGGCGTGATGCTGACCACTCACCCCCATCTAGTACCGAGGTCAAGGAAGAGAGGAGCTATACCTCCACTCGCCCCAAGCACCTACATGGCGTATAGTGGGACAAACTTAACTTTACTTTACTTACAGTACAAGGTGAAGGGTTTGTTGACAAACATAAATTCTCCTGAAATGACTGAAGAGTCAAATTATTACAACACTTAAAGATAAAACAATCATTCTGTTACACATCCTATACCTTGTAAAGAGAGTGAAGGTGGTCTACTTTGACCAAAATATGTCACTATAACTCAAACCTGTCTTTGTGCTTTGTACTATGCTTATTTCCTTCTCATCATGAAAAACATTAAAATCAAGGCGAAATGATGACAGTTTTAATTCATAAAAGGGATTAGAATCCTTTATAAATCCAATCTGATTTTTTCATAATGTATATTATACCCATCATCCAATACATACCATGCCTAAGAGAGCAATGTCATTAATGAATGTACGATTTTCAAACAGTCAAAACAAGAAATTAGGGCCCTTTTCAGTTTGTAGGTCAATCATTAATGGCAACATGCAAATGAAGTTTCGTGTATTGCTAATGTACACAGAGCAAAACTAAATGAGGCTAAATACTAACAAAAATTACTGGAACAAAGTAAATAAACAAAACTTTAAAAACAAAGCAAAAATAGGGTGCAATAACTTTACGTAGCAAAAATATTACCAAATGCCGCCTCTTTATTTCTTCATTTCTCTTCCGAATTTTCTCTATACGTTCTTCCAAAAGCAGATCCTCCTGTTTACTGCGGGCCATCGTTGTAATATTTATTCAGTGTTACAATTACATCTTCAAACTTTCACATGCCCAGATCAAAGCACAAACACTAAATATCACACGCAACCAAACCGCGAGTAAGATTGCCTGAACTACCTCGGTCCCCTGGTTTTAACCGGAAGTGCATGCCTTCATGACTCTTCGGTACCTTTCATCACGTCTTATTATTTTCGCCTATACTGCCTCCTAATTTGGCACTGAACACCAATATACGGATCTGTTCTGTCTTTCTGCTTCCGTAACGTGAACGCAGTTTAAGCCTCGTTCACACTAGTCTAGTTGTTTGAATGCAAGTCGCTTGAAAATAAAAACTTGAAAGGACTTGATTCTTGTCATCTGTATTTCAAGTGTCAGAAGATTTCAGGGTTCAATTAAATCAAGTGTTTGCTACATGGCTCACCCATGTCATTCTTATTTATATAATGTCCCGAATAATAATAGTACGTAATGACGATAATGGCTCTAGGACCCATTTAAACATTTATATTCTTGTGATAGTGAAAATTACGATGTAGAAAAACATCTGGGTTGAGACACCACATCCACTCGAAGTTTGATAATTGCTTCGGGAGAAGATACTGCCCTCATATTCACGACTGAAACAAAGATTGTTTCTCCGAAACGTTGGTCTGTACCTGAATTCACATGGTTTCCTACCACAGAACTTTGGGGGCTAGCGATTAGTGGCCAAATTATGATGCGAAATTTTCGAAACTCTTTATAGTTGGCAGCATTGCTAATATTTAGCAGAAGACAACAAAATATTGGATATAGTACAATACAATATATCTGCAAAGCTTTGGTTAAGGCCGACAGCATTATGAGTAAGTGGAATTGTTCGTTTACGACATGTAGGAACAAGATTCGTGTTTTCGTCGTGCCAAGAGATTCAACTTAAAATAATCTTGTTTCAAGAAAAGATGAATATGTGTAATAGGAACTCCAGTACGTCAAACCAAAAGCAGTATTGTTTACAACAAAATGCCAGTTTCAAAAATAACAATAATATTAATTGTTTTCGTGCTCACGCTGTCGGTCTTTGTTGCCAATATATCGAATTTAATTTCTGTTATGGAAAAAAACCCATCAAGACGGATGGAAGACACTGAAACAAACGTTGACCAAAGTGAAGCAACTAAGTTAACGCTGGGGAATTCACCAGAACATTTAATGTGGTTTATACAGGTTTGTATAGGGACATAAAATCATAGTTAATCAATTAAATTAGATGGCCAGTGAATGTACTTCTGGCACTGTTTCATTTAAAAAAGATTCTACTGTCGCTAAGGTTATGTGCTTTTATTTCATAGCAGCAAGTTGTTAATGATTCGAGGATGATGCAACAGTATTTCATGCTTGAGCTAGCCGTTTAAATGGTCAGGGCACGGTGTGGTAGACTTCCTAATCCATTTTTGTTGTTGTCCACAATTAGGTTTGGATGGTGCACTGTACTGGCCTTGTATCATTTCGTTCTCACTCACTGTATTCAGAAGGCCTTGGGTTCAAAACTCGGTGCCAATACAGGTTGTTTTGATGGGATCTCCTTAGTCTGTCCAAATGATGCAGTAATCCATGATTCCTTCCTCCCACGTCTTTTGATATTAATTATTTATAAGCATAGCGCCATTTGATGCTTATGGAGTTGAAAAAGTGGCGAATAACATAAGCTGCCATCATTCAAAAATAAACTGTTCCATTAATTATCTTGATAACTAAATGATGCACTTTTCTAACTGAACTTGCTGAGAAAAACATTTATTTCATGTAAGGAGAGGGAGGAAGTAGATCTCAAATTTTCCAGCCCATATGCGTAAGGTTTGCTGTAGAACCCCAGAAGTATGGGATTTTGTTTGTGGTGATGAAAGGCATGCAACATTTCATGTATCTTCAATCTACTGCTGACTGCATATATGTAAAGAAAAATATAAGCAATTTTAAAATGTGAAAGTTAGGCTAAGATGACCCAGGCATCTCAGTCAGAGGGTTAATGTGCTGACTTCCATGGTTTCAGATATCTGATATCCACATTAGCATTTTTCATGATGAGACTCGTGTCACTGAACTAAAGGAATTCTGTGACTTGACACTGAATGCTGTTAAGCCCACTGTAGTATTAGCGTCTGGTAAGTAGTCTAACTTGCATTAGAAGAGATAATGTTCACCATGTATAAACACCACATATCCCATCTATTTTGCACAAGATTTTTCCACAGGGTGTTAATGTGGCCAGAACATGAATCTGACCAATAAACCCAAATACCATGGTTAAGAATGTGTGGAACTATACCACATGGACATGGACGTATAATAAGGTAAAGGTTGCATTCTTGGACTTTAGAATGAACAAAAATTATTTTGACCTGTATTAACTGCTATCCCTGGATACAAACAGGATACAGGGTAGCTGTTACAAGTGTTGTAACATGGATTATCACATGATGAGATTTAAATCAGTCCACCTGCCCTCTCTTACAGATTTCACAATTTAATACAATTGTATGTGAAAGTGGTTTCAAGTGGTTGTCATATTTTAGTGTTTTTAAAAATTGGCAGCCAAGGATCAAAGAATCAGATTTTGCACACACAAGCTAGAGACATAGATTTTAAGGTGGATAATCATTTAAAGTTAAAGGAAAAGTGGACATTTGCACAGAGTTGCCAATTGAGAAAAATGCACTGCTGATGATTAACATTACAATGCCCGACAGTCAAGTTCACACATCACAACCAAAACCACCTATATTATTGGGACAAACTGTCACCCACAATCACTTTTTGAATCTTAGTATAATAACAGTCCAGTTTGTTCATATTTTGTATTCTTTAGCACTGACATATAATTTCCTGTTTGTTTTTTTTTTCTTCAAATTTTCAGGTGATTTGACAGATGCAAAGTCTGAAGATAACATGGGATCTCGACAGTATGTACAAGAATGGGAATTGTACAAGGAGTTTCTTGAATCATGCAAAGTGACAGAAAAGACTGTGTGGCTTGACATCAGAGGAAACCATGGTATCAGTCCTTCTCTTTAAAATAATTAGCTTTCTGGTAGTACAAGCCAAAGACTGAATACCACCAACGCCAAAAGACAACAGACATATCCTCCAGCTCCCATCCTCATGATTTACCTCGCTAAGATTTGTCTACTTACTGCCCTTTGAGCTTCTCAGTCTTCTTAGTACAGGTAGCTCTCGATTTATGCCGGGGATGCGTTCCTGGACGAACCAGCCTAAACAGAATCGACGTAAATTGAAACTCTTTTATAATGTAAATCAATGGGAAGTCAATGACATGCATTACCAGCACCCAAACATTGATGAGTAATATAATGGCATTACATTTAAATCTCTGAAATGACAAAAATAAAATAAAGGGAATTAAAAAATATATTTTATACACTTACAATCGGCAATTCATTGATCTCTGCGATTGACTGTGATTCATTCATGTGATTGATTTGTACAGTCATCTCTGCTGTTATACGATAGTTGCATTCATGTAAGACGCCGACCTATAGAAAATCGCGTAGTAAAAATAACCCTGGTACCTCCGCAGAGATTAAATTAGTCTTTTGAAAGTTTAAAGCGCAAGGAATGAAATTGCATAAGAGCAAACTCACATATGCAAAAGTTTGCATTTCACAAACAGCATTTACTGATTCATCGATCTGATTGGAGCAAATTCGCGTTAACGAAACATACGTAATTGCAGAGATGACTGTATTTATAATTTTTATTCAAAATCATCGATGTAAGAATTACGATTTAGTATAAGAATCAGTACGAGAAACATTGTAAAACGTTATAAATAATAGTAAAATATATTTTTTTTCACTTTTTGACTTGCTGGTTTCAAAATTGGCGCTATTCTGAATCGGCGCAAATCGAGGGCTACCTGTAACTGCATCCCATGAGATTTCTCCAATAAGATTCTGTATCAGTTTGTCTCTTCTATCTGAGGTAGTTCCTAGTCTGTAGTAACCTCCATGATTTCATGACTCTTAACAATATTAGGAGTGTTTTACTGTCTTTTGTCACCATGGGATGGTTCTTCCTAAAGTTGTGGATGGAGAAGGCATCCATATATGGAGGCTACCTGAAAATACTCTGAATAAGCAGTCTTGGTCTGCCAGCAAGGGGTGGTCCTCCAGCTTGGGGATTGGGCAGGGGGCTAACAAGTACCCACTGTAAAGACAAACATGTCATTAAATGTAACATATGGCCTAAGACTTGATGGTGAAATCTTGTGAACATGGTAATAAACCATCATGTTCCATAAAATGTAGATTCTCAAAAAAGACTGTTCCATGGAGTTATTCTTTCAACAGACGTTTAAATCACGAAAGTACTTTTGTAATCTCCCAAATCACTTACTTAACCTCTGATGGGTCAGCATATTTTCCAGAGCACTTTTGTTTTCTCACACTTGTAATTTATGTTCCTTACTCATAATAATTTTTTGTATTTATGAAAAACAACTTGCAAAATTAATGTTCTTAAAGTGTTTTGTAAACAGGACAATGATTGTGAAATGAATAGTATTTTCTAAATATATTCTTCTTTATTATGAACTTATTTATTTAACCTGTCATCTTTATACTTGATGCCATGAGAACCTGAAATCTCACATAATAGGGCTTGTATTTTACAAATGTTTGTTAATAATCAATCTTATCAGTCTTGGCACTGTAAGGATTAATGTAATTTTTTTTTTCAGACAATTTCAATGTACCAGGCCTAACGTCAAAAGAAAACTACTATCGTAATTATTCCATGCAGGGAAGAGCCCATCCTAAGTCATATATGTATCAGACAAAGAAAGGTGGAGAACTGTATTCCTTCATTGGAATGGATGCTTGCTTGGAACCTGGACCACGTCGTCCATTTAACTTTGTGGGTGTATTGTCTCAGGCAGAAATGGACCATGTCAAGAAGCTGTCAGATGATGCAAAAAGGAAAGGAAGCAATCATACCATTTGGTTTGGGCATTATCCCACATCTTGCATACTTGCTCCAGGGTCGGGTGGTGTGAGAACTTTGATTGCAAAATACTCAGAGTCAATTGTGTATGTCTGTGGACACTATCACACACTGGGAGGAATGGTCCCCAATATGTACACACTCCAGCAAGCTGGCTTCTTGGAGCTGGAATTGGGTGACTGGAAAGATAACCGGCTGTGAGTAGAAAATAGACTACATTAGGACAACAAAGCAAAGTGCATTGTGAAAGAGATCTTTTTTGTCTCCTCGTGGCATTTTGACGTTGATTGAGGTGGGATGTCGTAGTTTGGACAAAGCACTGGTAAATGACCAAACTCTGATATGGGAACAAATGTGTTAAGAAACAGATGTATGGCTAACTTTTAAAGCAGGTTGTTATAGCCCTCCCTGTCAAGAGTGCTGATTCCTGGGGTAAAAGAAGCAGTATTTATATATGTACAGGAAAGGAATACTGCATTGATGTTGAAAATTCTGTCTGGTGAATTGACAGCAGTCAGGGACAAAAGCAAAATATATTAAACAGAATCTATCCTTGTAAGTGAAACCAATTACTTGACTTGGGAGTAGAGCCAACACTTTAAATGTTATGTATTTAGATATACCTTATAGAATGCACAATATCCAAGCTAAAATCACTTTAATTGATCACAGCACAAAAATTTAGGAATTTCTGCTCTGTTGCCCTGTAGGTATCTAATACGAGGGTAGTAGATCAACACCAGAATCATTGTTTATATAAAATGTTCAATCAGTAGTTGATAATTTCCAACATTATAATGAATCAACCACTGTTATAAACCTTTAGAGAATCCTTCACTGTTGTCATGCTGCAGGTATACAGATGGGAACAGAGCAAATTCCTGAAACATGGGAAATATACTTCCAACACTGGCAAAATGCTCAGCATAACTGCAATGTAATCCACAGACCTTTGACAAATCCTTCTCTGTTCCTGATCCCTGTGTTGCAGGTACCGTCTTCTGGCAGTAGATCATGGACTGTTTTCATTTGTTGATATCAAACACAGGGACTGGCCTGTAGTTCTGGTGACTAATCCTAAACATGCTTTGTTCATAATACCCACTCGGGAGCCTCTCCAGAGGATCTTGCAGTCTACTCACATCAGGTATTAACAGCTTACAAGAAAACTTTGTATTATTAATTCTGTTAATAGAATCTGAGAGTTCAACACTGATGAAACCATATTCCACATTTAGACATGATTCTGCAGTTTCATCCAGTTTATATCATCAAATTTAAAGTCATATTGTAGTAGTTCACACTCCTAGTTTGTATTTGGGATGATCCATATTCAAATATTAGCCTGAAGACTGGCTATCCTGATTGAGGATTACTGGGTTTCACTCCTTGTACCATTACTGTCCAGGAATTTGTTTATTTCAGGAAAATGCTAATGTGTCTGTAAACAAGCATCATATTAACCTAATGCCTTTTGTAATACAGGGAAACCTGTTTAAATGGCATCTGCATTAAACTTTAACTTGTCTTTTTCTGAAAATGTCTACAGTCCTGACATTATGGACTAAAAATAATGTAACTACCTATTTTAATTGGAAATTGTTTAATGTGGAGAAGAAAAAAAGTGTGATGGGAAACTGTATGCTCTTAAAATTTACTGTAATTTTGTTTTGAAATGTGCTTCTTGCAATTTATCTTTAAAGGAACATTCTAGCCACCAGTGGGAAAGAAATGAACATAACAATAAATGCAGAAAGCAAAGAATGAAAATCTTTATCAATGTAAATACTTAGCTTGAATTTCTGAATTGCATTTCGGGTAATAAGTGTTAAATACATAAGATATGAAGTGCAAATTGTCTCCAGAAGTACTTAAGTGGAAACTCATCCTGAACTGCAAAAACATTCAGGGCTTGTCAGATTCCACTATAAGAAGGTTTAATTGTGTAATTACCATTTGGGATGTACCGAGTTCAGATTTTGCCTGTGTTACTGACTACCCTGATGTAGACTCTTGACTGAGATTTTTCTTGATTTTCCTCTGTCTTTCCAAGCAGATTCCAGGGCAGTACCTTGAAAACCACGGTGGTCTAGCGGTCAGAACACTAGCCTTGTAAGCCTGGGGTCCCGGGTTCAATTCCCGGTGGTGCTCAAATTTATAACTTGTGTTGGGCAAGGCCGTGGTCTAAGCATCACGGAGTTTTCCTCCGGGGGCTTCCCCGGTTTCTCCGTGGCATCCCAACAATTACTCCACTCACACACAGAAGAAGGCAATGGCAAACCACTTCTGATCATCTCTGCCAAGAATGTATATATGTATGAGCAGGTACCTGACAACCTGAAGAGGTTGGAAGGATCCTGTTCATGATATATGGACCTGTCGTCAGACAGAACACTACAAATAAAAAAAAAACAAAAAACCTTGAAAAAGGCCATGGCCACATCCAAAGTCTTTTAACTATTCACCATTCATTCATCTTCCCATCTTATAAGCTCTGTAGTATAAACTGTCATTGAATCATTAAAACGTTAAAAATTCATGGTAAAGAGTCTTCCTTAGAAGTATAAACTGTCATTGAATCATTAAAAATTCATGGTACAGAGTCTTCCTTAGGAGTGGACAGTTATTTAGCTTGTTAAGATATTATTTGTAATCTTTTGAACCTAAAGTTTCAACACCATGATCACAAAAGCTCAAATGTATATTATCTAGTAATACAAGAACATCTAACCTTATTTAAGTATCATTATGATTTGATGTTTCCTCAGGGTTTTAGGGTTTTCTCTCTCACCTATTGAGAGTGTTGAAGTGAAGGTTGATGACGGTGTTTGGCAGCACTGTACCCACATTAGGGGCCCTCTGTATGTACACCCATGGGATCCCAACCTATTTGCAACAGGCATCCATGAAATACATGTGAGTTTTCACTAGATATGTGCTTAAAAATAAAGAAAATTATATATAATGTAAATATGATAATTATTTCTTATTGCTTAGGTTCTAATAAAGGACAAAGCTGGTCGAGAGAAAGTCATCACACAGCCTTTTTCCTTGGATGGAACTCAGATGAGTTTCCGTCTATTTCCAAGACTTGTTCTTATGTCAAACATCAGTTTAGTGGTAAGTAGTGCACTAAAATGGCTTCTTTCCTTCTTATAACTTCACCATATCATCCGACATAGTTTCTGATTCATTCCAAGTCCATTATCCGGATTTGGGGAGTTGTGCTTCAGCATCAGTTAAAATATTAGCTTACAAGTACTATTACTAGAGTCGAAAGCAATGAACGTTTTGATGTAGTGGTTGTCCAGAGGCCAATTCTCTTGACATGTTTCAAGTTCTCTCTAGGCATGCTGAGGCAGAATTTTAAAACATGCCAACTACTACATCCTTTCCAATTCATCACAAATGTTCATCCTCCCATTCATTGTTACATAACCCATGAATATTGCAAACTGTTGATAAATCTAGAAGTAAAAGTTACCCAGAAAATTCCATGCAAATTACTCAACTGATGAAAAATTACCATTTGCAATTTTGGAATACTTTAAGCTGGCAAAAAGTCATCAGCTACTGCTTCTAGGGTGAAATAAACTGAGAACTGAGTTGAATTTATTGACTTATTTGCCAGAAATAAATGTGTCTTGAATATTTATTCTGTAGTTTGAGAGAAATTTCATGTCTGCAATATGTTTTGTAATTTTTTCAGTTTCAATTCCTCTTTGGCACAATGCTTACTGTTTGTATCCTTCCACTCTGTATACTGAAGTACCTTCATAAACTGGTCAAAGGTATGTGTATCTCAAATCAGGTCAGTGAAAGGGATGAGAAGTAATTATATATGTACAGAAATACATAGGTGGTTCAAATATGATCTGGAATTTTGATAACAGTGTCAGTAATTGTCTTGTGTGTTTCACATCAGGCAGTTGAGTCGATAGTACTCACTCCTTTCATGTATGTACTTATCCCATCCCATGAAATGACTGTAAAAATGACACCCACATCCTTAAAAGAAACAATGAAAATTCTTGGTCAAATTTGAACCACTCTCATATATAGAATAAGAATGCACATATCTGACTATGATGGCAATACACGAAAGTATATTGCAGATATACCCCAATGTATGTGCTGTAGTCACCACATATCTTGCGAACTGTTTCTCATGCTTCCCATGTTGCACTGGATTTGGCAAGGTCAGATGAAGATCTGGAGCAGCTTGGTGCTACAAGATGGACTGTTCCAATTATTTTGTTATCCTTATTATGAATTCCTCTGTTGTACCTTCCCTGGGCACTTCACTGTTATTACTGCAACCTAAAAAGTTAGATCGTGGGACCACACTTAACTCGAAGCATGGCGGTAATGGGTGAGGTTGTTTTTTTGGAATATATGTTGATGTGCACACAGCACATTCCCCTCTTTGCAGCTCACTGCACGTTAACAGCTTGCAAGATGTCTGGTGACTACAGTAGTTCATTTATTTGTAAATCTCCAGAAGAAGAAAAGCTGCTAAATAACATGCAGAAATAAAGTTCTTGAACAAGACTCAGATGAACTCTCAGCTGATGACTACAGCCTCCAATTATCTTAGCCTCCAGGCTCTTTACCTGAGGACTAGAGAATGATGCTACCATTTCCCTTCGTCTTGTTCCAAGGTGAAGAATGTGTGGAACTTGACTTTAATGCTGTTTTATTTATCCATGATAATGTTGCTTAAGCGCAAGGACAATGTAAACTATCTTAAACATGTTACAGTGAAATAACAGTATTTATCATATAAACTCACATAATGACAAATTTATCATTTGAAATGCCTTTTTTGTTACAATATTTTTGGCATTTTTAATAAACCAAAATATATTATTACTGTGTTTATCACTGAAAAACATCTGTTCAAGAATGTGAATTCTAATTTTAACACTGAGATTATATATATATATAAAAATGTCTTTGATATAGACATTTTCCAGAAATGCAACTTCCACTTGAATGTGTATATATGAATAAACAGCTATATAAATTGTTAAGCAATGGTTCAGTTCTCATTATTTATGTTTGTAAAGACACCCAAATAATGTGTTCTTTGTTATGTTCCAGCTGAAAAACTTCATAAGCCTAGACTGTCTGTTTGCTTCTTCCAAAACTGGGTTCGCAAATTGTGGATCTTGTCAACGGTTGACCGAGTGTTTTATCCCTTGGTGTTATATGCACTTTATCTGACGGTAGGTAAGTTCTCAGTTATAAAACATGTGACTCATATCACATACATGTAAGGTTTCATAGTTATTTATCAGATTCCTAATGGTGAGGGCTCTTGAAATGTCAGTTTCTTATGGCAACTTGACACAGCTGATAGCCTGTGATTACATGCTACTGTGCATTGTAAATTTCTTCTAGACGACTGGAGAATGTGATAACCCTCTTTGCTAACGGGCAGTAAAATGTTACTCAGAGTGTCAAAATACATATTTTTCAGCTTTATGAAATAATTTTGAATCACATTTAACTCTATAGAAATACCATGTTTTCCCAAATAAAATGCACTTTTACATTCCTCCAGATAGATACCTTCAGAAAAAGTGGTTGCACATTTTCATAAATAACATTTCAATGGTAACTTCTAGTAAAATGCCCAGTAGAATTTTAATATGCACTATTATGTAGTCGGTTCTTGACATGGGATCTGGAGAAGACAGTGTGCCTTATACTTGGACAAATGTGGTATAATTGTTATATTTTTATATAAATTTCACTTTTTAACTTCGTAACCACAAAGTACTGATTGTTTTATAATGAGATTTTCTTTCTCAATCTTCAAGGTCCGTGGTCAATTGGAGAAGTTATTGAAGGGCATACAGGGATCATATTCGCTTGGGGAACAATCATCAATGGCGCATACCTTCCGGGATCTTTTACTTATGCATATGGCTTCTTGCAGGTTGGTAGGATGCTCATTTGTAAGTAGTGATTACATACACAAGAATTTATGTGGGAACATTTTTGAATATTTAGACTATGTGAAGGTTAAGTCACTTGTGCCTGGTATTGTCAGAGATGAAGGATGGGGAGGCATGTAGAAAATCCACACTGGATTTTATCAGTTCCAATCACAATACTTCTGGCACTGAAATCTGACACATATCCTTAGACCACAAGGTCCACATTGGTGAAACTGTTTCTTAACAGTCTGTGATTCGTTAGGCATTTCAAGATTTTGGAAGTATTGATATCCTGTGAATATAAATTCAGAGAACTGACAGGACAAGTGGGACTGTAACAGGCAATTTCTGTCAAATAACTGTTGACGTCCTGAATTGGCACTGTACCATGGAGCATCGTACCAATGGCAAATCCTTGTCTAGAAGTCAGGCCATGCAGAAATGTAATATTATTAAATCCCCTGCCCCACAAACAATTGCACCACAATTCTAAGGTTTTTTGATGATGATAATGTGGTGCTGTTGCATTATATAATAAAATATTTATTTTATATTCTTACAGTTTTAGTGGTCTAGCTGTGCATTATGGCCAGACTAGAGCATTTGCCACTACTGCGTACTTGGTTGGAGTTACTAGTAATTTGAAACCTAGCCATCAAGAGATGGCAGGGTAAATGTTAAACAAGATTAATTTAATTTCAGTATCCTTGCCTGTTTCAGATGTGTACATTTCAACTTCCACTGACCCTGATCCTTGCACACAATGTAGACCTGAGGTAAACATTATATTTTGTTTCATAAAAGTATTAAGATGATTTTAAATCATAGGAATTTATCAATGCATTTGGAACACATGATTTTTTATAAGTGTAAATTGAATCCATTATCTCATTTATCAATTTCTTGTTACATTTAATTCTTACTGGAATGCTTTATTAAAAGTAGTTCCAAAAGACAGGCACAGTTTTTTTCAGTACCAAGTGTGAACACCAGAACCAATTGCAGCAGGACCTAGATGTCCTGCATAAAAACATCTGGCATCCAGACCCACTTATGTTTTTTCAAAATTAATACAATGTCAGAAATTTTTGCAATGTGAGCCATTATGTTTCAAAATGTACCATATAATTTATGAACTGTTAGTGGTGTTAACTTCATTACATAAAAATTATGCAAGTGTATCTGTGTAGTTGTCAGAACCTGAAGTTAACATAGTTTATTTCTTGTTTCATCATAACACCTTGCATAGCTTGTTCCTCACTACAGCCTTTTACGGTTGTGACGCCATGAAAATTTTTCAGGCAGATACCAACATTTCGGATAAAAACCACTCATAGCACATCCATCCAACTTCAGCCCTGAAGATGGAAATTGCATGTTTATCCGAAACGCTGTCTTCAATCGAGAAGATTAACATCAGCATCTCCATCGCAGTGAGAACCAAAGATCTCACAGAGTAATTAAAAGGGTTAGATTTTTATTAAATATACCAACAACGCCACGGTGGTCTAGCGGTTAGAACGCTGGCCTTGTAATCCTGGGGTGTCGGGTTCGAATTTATAACTTGTGTTGGGCCAGGCCGTGGTCTAGGCAACCCGGAGTTTTCCTCCGTGGCATCCCACCAATTACTCCATTCACACACAGAAGAAGGCAATGGCAAACCACTTCTGGATCATCTGCCAAGAACGTATATGAACAGGTCCCAGTCCGAGAAAAGGATCGAAGGATCCTGTTCATATGGACCTGTCGTCAGACAGAACACTAATAATAAAAAAATAATCTTTTTTGACAGGTATAGGTCCCACCTTACAGGGAAGTCTTCTTCCTTCTTGGATCGCCTGTGTCAGCACCTACCCTTCGTTGTTGTTCTCACTCTCCAAATGGCATTTGCATATTCTTTCTGGCTTGCATATGGTACAATGGCATTTCTTCTTGGTCCGTTGCGTACATGGTCTGTGCTTCTTGGCATAGTGTTATGGCATCAAACTACTACCCTGCAAGAAAATACCTTGCGGTAAGTTATGTAATTTAAATAGAGAAATACAACCAATACCCACTGTCTCAGGTCTGATTCTTCTGTTTTTATTTGTATTGGAATTTTAATAGTTTTCCTTTCCAGTGAGAAAGTTTAGGCTATGTTGTTCAGTAATTTACAACTCAGTTACTGAACGTTTAGAGAGACAGAGATATGGCAGAATAATTATGAATAATGAATTAGAAGAGATGTCATGCTGTTTGTGTCCTGATGATGTCAAACCATTCAGTTAATATACAGTATGTTTTAGTATGTAAAGTGTGTGTGTGTGAGAGGATATCTAATTTTACTATGTCCTTTGTTAAGTACATCACAGGTTTAAACTGCCTGCTGGAAGTGAGGAAAATAAATATCTTAGTCCTTTGTTAAGTACATCACAGGTTTAAGACTGCCTGCTGGAAGTGAGGAAAACAAATATCTTACGATAGCCAGACAAGGTATATTCCAAATAAATGTGGAGTATTACCACCGCGCCAACCCACATAAATATTGAGAAAGGGTGTCATTCTTGCCAGAATAAGGCTCCACAGGGACCTGATAACATAGTACTGTATTGACAATTTAAACTTTGTCATTGAAGGCATGATGGTATTTGGTTTATTTAGTGATGCTTTCTCAACTGCATTTGTTATATATCATCAAATGGTAGAATAACTTGTGAATAATGAACTGGAATCAGTGTGTAAGGTATACAAGCATCTGCCTGGAAGAATATTACATATTATATGATATTTATTGCCTGATTTTTCATTAATTCAGTATGTGTAATTATTTTCTTCAGAAATGCAGTGGTGGTATGGGGAAACTGACACGTACCAATCTCAAGTTGTCAAGAAGTTTCATCACCAAACACAACTGTTACATGAACCAAAATATTTACACTGAAAATATGTATGAGGTTTCAAAATACATTCAGTATATTTTCAACTCCTTTCAAACTTCATCAATCCTGCTAAATAATTTCTCATATATTTTTGCTTTTGACATTCTTAATCCCTACCTATATAGCTATTTTTAAATAAATAAATATATATGAGTATAAGGTAATGACATTATTGAATCATGTAAAATTTGGCCTCACATAAGTCACAACATTATAAAGTGGAAGAGATAAATTTTATATGAAATGACTAACTCATGAAATTTTATAGGGGTAATTTCATGTGTCTCCTACATTTTTAGTGCCTTCTTTATTTTCCTGAGTAAATTCTGTTTCATAATTTGGACCAATTAAATTAATTAATTATCTGAGTGAAGCTAAAGAACATTAAACATGTTAATGAACTGTTTCTTGTTTTATTTCCTCCCCCCCAAGACATATACCTGGGGGAAGTGTGAAAACTTTATGAACAAAATGTGATTTGCATTGACACAGTCAGTAAACGTGTCATGCTTCCTGTGGCATAAGTTTCCAGAGGTGGTGAGTCATTTTAACACATGCTATAAAAAATTTCTGATTCTGTTACATTACTTTGAAACAGATATGCAGTATTATTTAACTAATGATTGCTACCAAGAACTAAAATTGAAATTATACTTTATCCACGCTGATTACCCCTTTGCTAATGATTATGCTTGTGATATTACTCATGTATGCAATTTCAAACTCTACTTCATGTGACCTCCATTGTAAAGTAGTATTTAAGTTATTTATTCACTTATAAAGTTAACCGTATTTTCATAAAACCATTTTAGTTTCATGTTAGTAGAAACAAAGATATATGTGCCAATATACAATACTATCTAATTATTATACAATAAAATTATGTACACCGGACTTAACTGTGTGGATTTATTGACCCATATTGTGCTAGTCATTTTTTAAAATTTCATTTTCTATTACTATCATACTCTGTTTTCTTATTCCGAATGTAGATTCTTAAATACAAGGCACTGAACACTATTCATTGACATGATGATGATATGTATGGTTTAATTACAAGAGTGCCTCATGAGGGATGTTACATTCTACAGTCTGTTAATAAAGTAAGTTCCTAGAATTGCTTTACTATATGCAAGAGATTTAAATTATATTAATTTCCTTAACATACCATCCAGTCGCAATATATTCATGACGATCCCACACCTTCTAAAATAGGGAAGCTAAAAGTAATAAATAAAAAAAGGCAATGGGAAAGAATTATCTTCAGCTTCCTAGTTTGTCCACCTTCTCATTAATATTCACACAGCTTAGAAGTTAAGAGACAGATCTTAGGCATTTAGAATTGACTTCCATGTTCTAATCACAATGGTAAAAAATTACTTAACATGTCCCATTTCTCTGCAGAAATGAATTGATAGCTTACTAAGGCATGAAGAACATGGAAACTGAAGTATGTGATATGGATGTATTGTGGGGTTAAATATGAATTTTGTGATAATTCTAGTTGAACAACTTTTAGAATAACTGGTACCATATGGCTTAATTCTTCCAAAAGTTATCATTAATCCCTGGCGACAGAGGCAAAGGTCCAAAACACTGCAAATTAATTCCACACTCACATGGCTGACTGCCTAGAAAGACTTCATTACAGTACTGAGCAAGTTAGTGTAGTAAAAACTCTTTATAATTGTATTTTGGAGACATGCACTTCACATCTTGATCAGGCTGCTGGCTATCCTGATTAACGGTTTGCTGTGATTTCTCTCAGGTGAATGTTAGACAGTAGCTTCATTCTCCTCCTATTTTGCCATTCATGAGCATCACATTTCATTTTTTTATATACAGCATATGTATACAATTGAAACTGTAATTAAATGACCTAAGAACAACTACTCTGATGAAGATTATAATAAGAGTTAAATTAAAATAAGGACTGAAAACTCTTAACAATATGGTCTAGCGGTTAGAACGCTGGCCTTGTAATCCTGGGGTCTCGGGTTCGATGCCCGAATTTATAACTTGTGTTGGGCAAGGCCGTGGTCTAGGCAACACGGAGTTTTCCTCCGTGGCATCCCAACAATTACTCCATTCACACACAGAAGAAGGCAATGGCAAACCACTTCTGGATCATCTGCCAAGAACGTATATGAACAGGTCCCAGTCCGAGAAAAGGATGGAAGGATCCTGTTCATATGGACCTGTCGTCAGACAGAACACTAAATAAATAATAATAGGGCATCATCCTGGGGTTGATTTGTCTCTCTGAATAAACAGCAAAACTGACCACTATCTGCAACCATCATATGTTTTCTTTTATGGAGAATGTAACATTGTGTGAACTAGTTTTTCACTTTAAAGAGTTAAGAAGATAATATTAAAATGGATCTTAAAGAAAAATGGGTGTAACTTCTATTCACCTGGCTCAGGTTATGGGCCAGTGGAAAGCCCTGTGGACCTTGGTTTTGAGACCCATAAAAAATGTTAATTATTTAACTAAAAACTTCTTAAGGACTCTCCTTCATGGAGTTAGTTCCTAATTCAACAATTAATTAACAGAGTGGCAGTAGAACCAGAAGGTTCAACACAGCTAATGACAAACATCAGCAGTAGTAGTAGTAATAATGAAGTTATTATGATAAAAATCAATTGTATATATGATAAAATCACAAAAGAAAAAATCAGTGATAACAGTTTTTAGAATGTACTCATACTTTGGATAACCTCAGCTTTCGAAGTAGTGAGTTCCCAAATAAATCTAAACAAATGACATATACACTACGTACAAGAGGTTCTCTACAGGTCGATGGTTGTGGGAAGATTGTTTAGAGAATAGAAGTTCTGTTCAACTTTGTTCTCCAAGACTCTGACAATACGAAGGCCAGGCATATCATCACCCAACTGTGCTCCCATGGCAGTTGTAACAGTAACAGGCATCCCCTTGTATGAACCACCTGCATTGCGGTGTAAATGACCAGCAAACACATGTACCACCCCTAACAACACATAAACAGTATTAAAAGCAATTGTCATTGTAACTGTAGCCAGCACTGATGCCCTGTATATTTATAAAATTCATAATCTCTCAATACCCTTCTAAATAAATTAACCCTTTTCTGCCCATAAACATAAACATGCCACACTCGACATAGTAAAATGTATGTGAAGGATATTTAAATTAAATGGGCTGGCAGCATTAAGATATAATGATTTTCAGTGGTACAGCAAATTTTATAAACTTAAGATATGTTTATTTTCCATCAGTACTTTAACACGATGATGAAACTCATCTTGATGTGGCATGATGCAACATTCATGATGGCCTGCTGTGTCGAAACACATCTGTAAAAGAACTACATGTGTTAAAGTGTTGTTAAGAATATCAGTATATCTTAAACTTTAGTAGAATTTGAGGTTTTTACAGCAGTGTGTCCGAAGATGGCTGTCTTCTAGGTTGTTGCGCCATGTAGTGTTGTTGAAGGTTGCCAGTGTTTCAGAGGTTCTTGCTGCCTCCATCATCGCCCTGAAGACAGCCACTTCTATCTTAAACTTTATCAGATATTAATAGGGGATTTAGCCCCTGTACTGCTGTCAATATAAAAAGTCTTTGGTCTGTTAGGATTAAATAACCAAATATTTAATTAGTGGAGTAGTCAACGAGGTGTCTACCTGAATTCCTGAATTTCTCCAACCAGACTTTTCGAATATTTGGTTTTATGGTAAAATAGTTTGACTCCTCATCAGGGTCATTCAAGAACCACGGGATATGCTGGAACACAATTACACGGGATCCTGCCTGCTTAGCACATTCCAATTCTTCATTCAGCCATTTTTCATGCTCCTGAGCCAGATCTGGGACCTCTGAGGCATCCTCAAAGTACTGGGAGTTGAGTGCTAGGAACTGCACACCATCACACAAAAATGAAAAGTAGTCATCACCAAAGGAGGACTTGTACCTGACAACAACCAAATTTAATGATGACTGAATATACTTATTAAAGAAATGATCCATAGACATGGGGACAAGTGACCTTAGCTACAAATTAATTTCCTTCTAAATAAATCATGTATTAGCTAATATACTTTGTATATAGCTATACTATAACCAACTCTGTACAGTAGCTGGAACCAAACTGTGTATTTCATCTGTCACTAGCTTGCGGACAAAATGAAAATCCAGGAACTGAGATGGAAAGCTACAAAGTACTGCCACTGGGAAGTTTATACTTATGCTTCCTTAGATGCTACCCCTCTGATCCCCTTGCTTTCTATTTAATAATAGATGTCAAATGCACAAAATGCTCCAGCTACTGTACATACTGTGGGCAAATAAAACAGTCAAGGCTAAAAGAGGTCGAAACAACAAAGAAGTGGAGGATATGTTACAATCTTGGAACAATGTTCTTAAAAAGTATGGTTTAAGATAAATACTGACTGCAGAAATGAGAGTAG